CTCATCTCATGTGGCCACAGGGAAGATGGGAAGTTCCGGAGGCAACAGGTGGTAGGTGAAAGGCTGAGAAGCTTGAGTGAATTGCTTAACCTCTCTGTGCGTGTCTGTTTTCCCATCTGCAAAATGAAGAAATACTGGCACTTAATATTGGGAATATTAAATGGGTGAATTCATGTGAAGTGCTGTGAACTGTGCCTGCTACCATCAGTACATACGTAAGTGTTGTAAATAAAACTTGGTACCCAGAAATGTTGCCCCTGAAGCTTGGCCCCCCTCTGCTGCAGGGCAAGCCCTGGGGAGGGAAGCCTTGGGCATAAGAGTCACAATTCCTGAAAGTCAATGTCCAACCAGGATGACAGTCAATGTCTTACTCCTTACAATCAAAATGGGGAGCTAGTAGGACCTATGGCACACGCCTGTAATCCCAGTGACTCTGCAGGCCGAGGCAGGAGGATTGCAAGTTTGGGGCCAGTCTTAGAAATTTAGTGAGACTCTAAGCAACTTTGTGAGACCCTATCTCAAAATTTAAAAAATAGGCTGGAATATAGCTCAGTGGTAAAATGACCCTGGAAGCTCAGAGAACTCAAGCAATTTGTCCTAAATCACACAGCAAGGTAGAAGTGCTTGCTCCAGAATATAAATTAAGTGGCCATTAAAGGAAGCCACAAATCTAGAAGTATCTAGCAATGGCCTGGCACACATTTGCTGAATGAGACATACCACTCTCATCCCCTTCTAGAAGGAGTCAAAGAGAAGGATGGAACCAGGGCCAGGGCCCAGGGCTCCCCTTACCCCATAACATGCCCTTTCCGTCAGGAATGGAGGTGGGAGGAAGAAGCCCATGGACTACTCAGTGCCCATCAGAGAGGGGTCTAGGATGGGAGTGGGGTCCTCCATCCCTACTCAGAAGCCTCTTTCCACCACAGGTAACACACCCCCTTCCCCTAGCATGGTATGGTGCGCTTGAAGTTACAGCTACTCACAGGCCCAGTTAGGAGGTTAGCGTGAGGTCAGGAGTTCAAGGCCAGCCTGGGCAATAGTAAGACCCTGTCTCAAACAAACAAACAAAACAAAACAAAAACACGCCCACATCCTTCTGCATACCCCTCTTCTGGGAAGGTCCTGCCTCCCAGGCACAGTGTCCTGTCTCCCATTCTCCAGAGTGCTGGGACCACAGCTGTGGTCCAGCTGCAGCACCCAGCCCACCGACTGGCCTCTGCCAGGACAGGAAGTGGGGGGAGAACTGTGCTTGCGGCTGGACACTGACGGGTGCGCACTGCAGCTGGAGCTGGCCAGGCACTAGAGTACTTCGCATGGAAAAGCCCGAGGGGAGACCTGGGACGGTATGAGGGGCAGAGACCACGCCAGGCGTTACTGTCCTCTTGGTTGCCTGGAGGGCTCTGGAGCGTGGGCAAGAGCCTGGGAATAGGAATGAGCACTGAGGTGGGAGTCTGAATGTAATAAGGCTTTGCCACTGACTTGCACCCTTGCCCTCTCTGGCCTGTTTTCCCACGGGTACATCTGAAATGTGCATTGAGCTCCCTGGGGCAGACACCATTCTGGGGACAAGGCAAAGTTGTTGCACCCATGGAGCTTAGGTACCAGTAAAGGAGCACAGGTACCACAGGTCAAGTGGTGAAAAAAATCTATGAACAGTAAAGTGGTATGACAGGCAGAGAGTGAGGGATCCGAGATGGTCTCACTTACAAGGTGAGAGAAGCAGAAGACATGAGGAAAGGGGCCATGAGAGCATATTTTGGGCAGAGAGAAGAGCATGTGCAAAAGCCCTTGAGGTGAGCCCATGCTTGAGGAGGAGAGAGAGAGAGAAGGAAGGAAGGAGGGAGGGAAGGAAGGAAGGAAGGAAGGAAGGAAGGCAGGCAGGCAGACTGGCTGTAATAGAAATGTAGGGGAGATGGAGGCAAGGGCAGGTACGGCCTGCACAATGTGGCTGAAGACCCCTATAAAGACTCTGCATTTTACTCTGAACTGCTCAGTGGGCTCTAGGGGGCACCTGGGTGTGGGTGCAGAACCCTGCTAGTGCTCGCAGAGGGAGAAGGTGCCAGAGGCATGCACTTTTGACCTCCTCTCATTTACCCAGGCATCTGGCTAGGTCCCTCAGGAAGAGACAATAACAGGGCAGGGACTAGTGAAGCATATAAAATCAGAAGTAAGGGAGGCACTTGGCTCAGGCACAAAACTTAAGGTCAAAAACCTCAGTCATTAAGAAAAAGCAACAACAATAGTATTTTTCTGCAATATATTTAAAAATCAAAATCAATGCAAAAAAGTCCATGATGAACAAAATGCTAGGTTTGGGGTGGGAATTGAACCCAGGACTGCCCTACCACTGAACCACATCCCCAAACCTTTTAATTTTTTTTTTTTATATTGAAACAGGGTCTCATTAAATTGCCAAGGTTGGCCTCAAACTTGCCATCCTCCTGCCTCAGCCTCCTGAGTCCCTGGGATTACATGTTTGGGCCACCACACTTCATTTGGCCTTATTGTTGTGTGCATTAAAAATATATATATATATATATATATTGCTTTAAAATATTATGTATCTTGCCGGGCATGGTGGTCCACACCTGTAATCCCAGCAATTTGGGAAGCTGAGGCAGAAGGATTCCAAATTCCAGGGCAGCCTCAGCAATTTAGTGAGACTCTAAGCAATTTAGGGAGACCCTGTCTCAAAATAAAAAAGGGCTGGAGATGTAGCTCAGTGGTTAAGTGTCCCTAGGTTCAACCCCTGGTACGTAAAATATAAATAAAATGTTATGCATCTTGACACCTTTTAAGTTTTGCACCCCAGGAGAGTAGCTCACTTACATTGCCCTAATCCTGGCCCTGGGTGACATGAAGACTGGGTTACCAAGTAAGGGCACCTTGATCATCACTCCTGAGGTTCAGAAAGGAACTTACCCAGAGAAACATGGCGAGTGGGGAGACGCTGGGATTTGAACTCTAGTTCCATGTCAAAGCCCTATGCCAAGTTCCATGCTCTGTGCTGTTCTGAAATGCTGATTGTCATGAGTGTTCACCAAAAAAAAAACACAAACTTTTTTATTCACACACAAAAGTTCATGTAACTTTAAAACTCAGCTTGCTGAATCCTTACACACTGAGCACACCTGTGTAGCCAGCATGTGGGATTAAATTGAAAGTGTATTTTACATTTCCAACACAACAGACATTATTACTGGGTCAGATTCAGAGGGCTTTTGAGATCACGCAGGCAACTTCAGAACAATAAGGCTCCAGGTCTGGGCTGACACGGAGTTTAGGGGCCCTGAAATGGGACTGCGAAACTAAGGGAGGGAAGGGTAGGATTGAGATCTGTGGTTGGGGAGAGGGCAGAGCGAGATCGTGGGCCTGTTCTTGGAGGCAGGAGGGGCCTGCCCGGGGGCCCAGGTAAGCCGGTAAGAATGCTGCGGCTGCCAAGCCCTAGCGCGGGCGGGGCCGTGACTCAGCTCGTGCCAGGAAAGGGGAATGCACCTCTCCAGCTCTCCCAGCGTCCCGATCCCGAGCCAGGCCAGGTCCCCGCAGAGAGCAGCCAGTCCGGGAGGGCGGGACCCCGCCTCCCCGCCCGCCCCGCCTCACTCCGGGCCGCAGCACCCGGGCCCATCGCGGGGACGTGGCCGCGGGTGGCGAGAGCGCTGCTGGCGCCGTGGGGGCGGCCTCGGTTCTGGCCCCGACGGCGCCGCGAAGACCTGCGAGCGCCGTAAGTAGCGACTTCAAGGACTGTGGGGAGACCAAAGAGAAGCCCCCGAGTCCCTCGCCCGGCTCTCTCAGTCCAGCTCCACCCTTCCAATCCTGGCTGTAAAGCCCGACCCGAGAGGCGGCCTGGCGCCGCCGCCTCCTTCCTAATTGCTCCTTGGCCCTTGTGGTTGGGAGCCCAAACGCGGCTCCCAGGCAGCGCATCCAGTGTAGCTGAGACTCTGTCACCCCAGTGGGCTGTCCTACCTGAGGATCATCCCATGGGCCCACCCAGCCCCACCTGGCAGGCCACAAGCCCGGGATCTCAGGGGTCTGGTCCCGGGGTCACCATGAGAGTCCTGCACCTTCTCCGACTTGACTGACGGCGGCTCCTTCCAACCACCAGGGCTTACAATTCCAGATGTGCTCACAGCTGGCCCTGCTAGAAGGGGCTCCCTCCTTTCTGCACGTACCTTCGTCTTAGAAGGCCTGGAATTTCAGCCTGGACCCCAAAGAAAGGCTGAATTCCGAGAACCTCTTTTTTGCTTCCAAAGTCGGTTTTCTGACACGAATTCCCACGCCCAGCTGCTAGGGGTGGGGGATAAGCGATGCCAACTCAGGGCTGCTGTAGGACAGGGGAGGTGGGGTAGTCACTAGCCGGATTTCCAGGAGGGGGAACTTCTAGGGAGTTGAGTTTGTGGTCCCTGAGCCCCAGACCCAAAGCACCCAGCTTTGGACCCAGAGCTGAGACCGAAGCGAGCGGCCAAAGGGTACCCGAGGAACTGACCATTCTCATCTTTGGGACGATAAAATTTGGGGACTGAAATTATTCAAACAATTGGCCCGAGGTGGGGTGTCTCTCTTTTCTTTCTTTCTTCTCTCTCTCTCTCTCTCTCTCTCTCTCTCTCTCTCTCTCTCTCTCCTGATTTTGTGCAAACTTACAGAATTTGGGACCAAAGGAAAACGCAGCCCCTTGTGCAGCCAACAGGGCCCTGGGCCTCGGGAGGCGGAGATTTGGGGAGACTGGGGCCCGGCTCTGAGCGCAGGGAGGAAACGAGCTGAGTCGGCTTCCTGTGGGGGCTAGGGCCTCGGACTCCCCGCGGACAGACGTGTCCGGCCGGGCAGCGCCGAACTCCGTGCGGGGGAGGGACCTGGTGTGTGGGGGGGGTGCGGCTGCGAAGGCGAGGAGGGGGCGGGGACAGGGTGGGCCAGGGAAGAGGGGAGGGCAGAAGAGAACAGGGGAGGAGCGAGGGGGCTGAGCGAGAGAAGGAAGAAGGAAGGGGCGAACGACGCGAGCTGGCGCCGAAATGAGAGAAAGCAGCGAGTGAGAGGGGAGGGGGCGCCGGGCGAGACCGTGGAGCCGAGCGGCCCCTAACCCGGCGCCCGCTGCAGGCGCGCATGGCGGGCGGGGCGCGCTGATCCCTGCAGGTCAAGAGTAGCGCACAAGTGAGTCGGTGGCCGAGCGGATTGGCGCGGAGGCGCGCGTCGGAGCTGATCTTCCCTGCTTGTCCCCCATTCCCCCGCACGATCGGGAAAAGGTCGGTCGACCCTATCTGCTGAGCCCTATTTTCCTTAGGTCCCGGGCCAATGTCCCAGGTGAGCGGCCAGCACCCCTCTCGCTGCGACGCGCCCCATGGAGCCCCTAGCGCAGCTCCGGACCCAGGTAGGACCTGGAATGTTGAGCGAAGCTGGACGGGAACTGGGCGGGCTGGTGGGGAGCAGTTATTGGGGCGCAGTTCTCTTGCGCTCCCCAAGACCCCGGGAGACGGTTCTGGGGGGGATGGGTGGGGGTGGGGCGAGAATTCTGGGTACTGGGGACCTGGTCCAAGGACAGTAGAGGGCTGGGGCGAAGAGGCAGGGCCCCTAACAGAGGCGGCGGCTGCGCCAAGTTGGCTCTAACTCTCGCGGCCACACCACCAGACACAGACACACACACCGTGGTGTCTGTCCGTCCGTCTGGGATTTGTGGCCCGACCGTTTCTGCCCAGTGTGTAAATATTTATGGGGGCCTTGGGCGGGCGCGCGGCGGGGTGGTGTCTGAGTTCTTCTCTCCTTCCCTTCCCCCAGCCCAACCAGCGCCGAACGCTTCCCGAAAACTTTTGTCTGCCACGAGCGGCTGCAGGACCGGGCCCCTCCCCTCCTTCTTGCCATCTCCTCTCTCGCTTTCCTTACCTCCCCAATGGCCAGTCCCCACCGCCTCTACCCTACAGGCACAAACACATACACACACACACACACACACACACACCACACACACACCACACACACACACACACACACTGTCAGCAACCTCGTGAAATGCCCCTCCCCCTCCCCCCAGGGAGTCCAACCTACTCATCCCATTCCCTTCGGAGCCTCCTAACGCAGGAAGGGTTTGCGACTCCCTGAGGGGGTCTGGGCTAGGGGTCCTGCAGAGGGTGGCTCCCAGTTCCTTCCCTTTCCTGTACAGATGTGTCCCTGAGGCTGGCAATGGAAGTCAGGGTCGCGAAGAAGCCAGGAACTTATGGATTTCAGGGACAGGGTGTGGAGTGCAGAATTGTAACATGGATTTCATGACTTGAGCCCCTCCTCTGTTAGTCTGATGCTCTGCCTCCCCCCCACCCAGTCCACCCGCCTTTCTTTTCCTCTTTGACTCTGAATAATGAGGGTCTGCTCCTGCTTCTAGCCCTAACTTCCTGTGGTGATCTTCTGTGATCTCAGCCTCCATATCTACCCACAGGGGCTTGTCTGCCTGTTTGGAAAGTGAATCTTAGTTTACTGCCTAGTGTGGACCCCCACAGTTGGGGAGATGGGGATCTCCTAAACCAGAGTGAGGACAGTTGGGAAATGTCTGGCCAGCATCTAGCAGCACATAGATGAGACCACTGTGTCTGCCACCCTTTTTCACTAACCCTGAGTCCCTGCTCTTTCTATGAGGCCCCTGGATCAGGAACGTTGACTTCTGGGGAATAAACCAGGTCAAGAACTGGGCTCTTGCTGGGTGGGGTGGCTCATGCCTAATCCCAGCCACTTGAGAGTCTGGGGCAGGAGGATCACAAATTCAAGGCCAGCCTCAGCAACTTAGTGAGACCCTGTATCAAAATAAAAAGGGCTGGGGATGTAACTCAGTAGTAAAGTACCCCTGGGTTCAATTTCCACTAAATTTTTCTCTCCCCTCTCTGTCTCTCTCTCTGTCTCTCTCTCTCTCTCTCTCTCTCTCTCTCTCTCTCTCTCTCTCTCTCTCTCTCTCTCTCTCATACACACACACACACACACACACACAAACAGAGAGAGAGAGAGAGAGAGAGAGAGAGAGAGAGAGAAGAACTGGACTTCCTCAACCTGGAGGAAGAACTGGGGGCAGAGGCTGGGAAGTTTTTGTGTCTGGAGCCTTCTCCATCCCTCTCAGCCTCTCGCTCCCTTCTCTTGCTCAGCCTCCTGCCTCCTCCCATCCCCTGCTTCTTCCTCCCCTGTCCATTCTCTGCTTGTCTCCTCTACTTCCCCCTCCAAGACCCCCTTCCTCATCCGACCTGTCCTGAGCTCAGCAGCTGAAGTGGGGGCTGTGTGCTCAAGACAGGACCCCAGTCCAGGGTGGGAAACTGGAAGGGTTAAACTCTGGTCTGTAATTTGAGGCCCCCCAGTGCCCCAGGAAGCCCCCTCCCCAGCCTCGACTGAGCCAGACAATGTGGCTTTCATAACAAGAGGCCTTGCTGGGCTGCTGCCTTGGGAGAATGAGCTTGCTGCCCAGGAAGCCCAAACCACAGGACACCCAGCCAAAACCCCACCGCACCGTGCCTGGATCTGAGACCAGGACCCGCTAAGCTCCCTGCCCTTGCCCTTGCTCCCCATGCACCCACAGAACAGCAAGGCCATAGCACTACCCCTAGGGGCCCTATGGGTCGCACAGCCAGGGAACAAGTTGGCCCCGTTCTTCAGCTGCCCAAGATGCAGACAGGGCACAAGGGACACGCAGGGCAGCTCTGGTTGGGGCAGGTGGCCAAGCCCTCACACCCTTGGCTCCCCCAGTGGCCTCCTCCCCACCCATCCTTGACAGTCTCCGGAGCCTGGCTCCCTAACTCACAAGCAGATTTCTGCCCGGCACTGGGGCGTCACATTCCTGTACATGCTTCTAAATTGAATTTCCTGGGGAATTGGAGCCTTTGGACCTAAAATAAAACCAACCAGACCCAGCCTAACTGGCAGCTCAGGCCCTCTCCAGTCTCAGCTGGGTGACCCAAGACTGACTAGGGCATTCACATTTACCATGTGCACATCAATGGAGTCCATCTTCTCCAGACTTCTTGGGGTTCAAGGACTAATGCCTCCCCAAATCCTCCGTGCTGTGTCTTTCTGTCTCCTTCTCCTGAGTTGGGGCATCCTGAATTTCAGATCAGGCATGTGCGGAGGATGTCAGGCAAAGGAGTAGACATCACCCCAAGGGAGGGAGGCAGGGAAGGCTCAGGGTCTATAAGACTAACAAGTTATAATTCACAAGAGGGGACACAGGTGCCAACTTCTTACCAACCAGACCATTTGGAGGAGGGACTCCTGGCTCAGGGGTAAGAGAAGCTTTCTGGAGGAAGAGATGGAGCTCCAACCGGGGCAGGAAGGCTGGGCTAGATTTGGAGAGTGTCTGGAGGAACAATATAAGCACAGCTGGATTGGTCACAAGGCCAGGGGATGGCCCAAGGCCATGGACAGGTCAGTCTGCTTGGAACACGGGACCTTTGAACATTGATTCCACTGAAGACATCAATTGAAGTCTTGAGTGGTAGACCAAGGAGAGACTGAAGCATGGAGTTCCAGATCAGAAGAGGTCCTGATCTTCTCTCTCCAGATATGGTCAGAGCTCCAAGGAAGGAGCCCAGATCCACTATCCACAAAGACAATGGAGGGGTCTGGACTTGAGGGACCAGGTGTAGGAGCTCTGGAACATGGGCTGTTCCCCACACCAGTCCCCCTGGGTTCTGTTCAGATTTGAAGTGAGCCCATCCCAACTGGAAGAGGTCCCCCTATTCCTTCTTGGCCCAGGACCACCCCTTGACTTGGGGGACAGCAGGCAGAGGGAGCCCCTCAGCCTTCCTCTTGGGTTTATGGATTTAAACATAGCACTTCCCCCTGCTTTGGGGGTTGGCTGTCTTTTACAGAACTCGGGGCATTGCCCAAGGCATCCATGTTGGGGGTGGCAGTACTCTGTCAAAGGGGCTGTTGCCTTTCTTTGTTCCCCATTGTGGATAGAGACTCCTGAGAGGAGAAGTTGGGGACTTCTGCTCAAAGACACCAACAGCATGTTTGAGCCCCCTGTGCAAGTTGGAAAATGATGGCCCTGTAGGCAGGTGGAGCAGGGACATAGGTGGGGAGCAGATGGCACGTTCTAGGAGGATGGGGCTGCAACCAGAACCTCAGCACCCTCCATGAACCCCTTTGGCAGGTGTCTTCCTGCAAGATGCGAATTGCAATCCACACACTGGCTCCTCTTGACCTCTGCTGGCCACGTCTTCCCTCCATCCACTCCGCACTTACACCCTGCAGGACAGAGCAGTCTCCCCTCTGTGACTAGACAGGGTTGCCTCATAGTCATAAAAGGAAAACGGGGCTCTTCAGCCTCTTGATGTGCAAACCACAACTCCACCTGTGGTCTGGCTTTTCTCCTCTGCCTGCTCCAAGCAAGCACAGTGTCTGGGCCCTCAGGGACAGAGTCCTCTTTGCAGACTGGGCCTTCTTGCAGCTTCTTCTTCCTTCTGATTCTTTTTGTCTGTCGCTGGACATGTGGTTTAATCCCCTCTTCCTCTCTTCATGTGCTGAAGGGAGTTCAGTTCTTGCCACCTTCCTGGCTCCAGGTCTGTCTCTCTGTGTGACCAGGTCAAGACCACTGGATATGACTGTCCTCTCTACCCCATTTGCCCTCCCAGGTTTAAGGACCACGCCAGAATGTCATGGTCCTTAAATGGTCCTGTAGGACTGGCCACCTGAGACCTTGTTCTGGGTTCTTGATAATTTCCTGTTCCCGCCAGATTCCAGGTTCCCAGTCTTATGGGTGCTGATAGGAAGAGTAGAGGGAGCTGGGCACTTTGGGTAAAGTGAAGAAGATGGAGCTGGGGGCTCCAGTCTCCTTGAACTCTCTCTTTTCTTCCTCCCTAACTCTGAGGGCCAATAACAATATCACCCCCTATGTGCCCTGGTGACCTCAGGAGAAAAACCTGAGAATTGACACAGGCCTGCTGTCCCCCAGCTGTCATTCTAGGCTTACCAGCCACATCTCTCTCTCTCTCATTCCTGCTGTGGCTATTCCTTCTGGGATCTGGGTTCCTGCTTCTTTTCTCCATATCCCCCTTCTATACCGACGATTGTTTTGAGACGTGGCTTCTAGGAAACCCCCTGGGCACACACACCTGGACTAGGTGCCCATTTTTTGTGCTTCTTCAGTTCTAATCAATGCCCTTACTGCAACTCTTGCTCCTCAGTGTTTGTGACAGCCCTGCCCCAGCCTGACAGAGTCTCCTGTGGCTGTGACCTGGTACTTCTCATTCTGGGACACCTAGTGCTTGATATTGCTAGACATCTTGTGGATGCTTAATAAATGTTAAACCAAACAGCATGGCAGGAAGGGAGGGAGGGGAGGGAGGAAGGGCGGAAAAAAATAGGGAGAATAGGAGGGAAGGAAAGAAGGCAGCGGCCAGGGAGGAGGTGGTGGAGGTATTCTTGAACCACCCTGCATGATGGGGTGCTGCTGTGCATTTCATTTGCTCTTTGCACCCTTTCTGTGCAAGGTAATCTAAATTCTGATAACTTGTCCAAACTGGTAACTGGTTAAAAAGCAAGACTTGGACTTTCTAGCTCCTTGCTCAGGTCTTTCCATGACACCACGTGGGAGACCAGTTCAGGGCATGGGACCATGGCATGATCCTCTAGGGGCCAGGGTCTGGAGCTGGGCAGGGCCCTCCTTTCCTGAAAATTAGGACCCAAGTCTGGGCTTCCCTCTTCATGGAGGCTTGGTCCTAGCCCTCCAGAATGGTGTCTCTGCGGGTATAGACCAGGCTCACAGGTATGGACCAGGCTCGCGGGTATAGACCAGGCTCGTGGCTAGAGGAGGATCCATCTAGCACACAGTATTTTTTCCCCTCAACTCGCATCCCTGCCTGCCTGTTCCCTCTTGTCTCAGCCCTGTAATCTTCCAAAAGCCATTTGGCTACAGGATAGTTAATCCAGATGGCAAGGGGCGCTCTCAACAGGCCCAAGGAGCGTTGCCCCCCTGGAGCTCCAGGAAGGCCCTCAATACGTAACTGTGCAGCCCTCAGAAGTTGCAGGAGCCAGGCCCTTCCCTCCTACCTGCCCCAGCTCCAGGCAGGGCCTGTGGTTTGCCCTGGGCAGGCACAAGCATGCCCACTCGGGCCTGCTGTCCTTTGTGCTACCCACATGGGCCTCTGGAACTTTGGTCCCCCTGGCCAAGAGGGACCACAGTCTTTGGAACAAGGATTCTTCAGGGGTCCCTGAGGCTCAAGCCTAGGGAGGAAGGTTGGCCATTGGATTGTACCCCCAACCTCCCTCCAGCTCCCATCCCCCATGTTGGCATGCCCCAACCTTAATTGATCCTTCTAACTTGTCTCCTCCCTCTGTTCTCCTCTCCTCTTTCTCTCTCTCATTTGGAGATAGCTGAGAGAAAGACACGCATGTCAACGCCTCTGTTTTCTGTGACTGATTTCATCTCAATCCGGGAGGCCATTCTTCTCTGTATCTCTGTCTGGGCATCTTGTGGCGTCTTCGAGGGCGTGTATGGAAGGGTGTGTCTTGCACTCGGGGCTTCTAGCTGCTGGTTCCCTTCATCTTCCTCTGCCCACTCTCTTGGCTGTGGCTCCCCCAAGCCCTTTTGATCTCTGCATTTCTCCAAGTCTCTTGTTCCTATGTCTCCTCTTTCTTCCCACCTGGGGTATGTGTGAGTGCAGAGGTAGGCGGGAGGCCCTGTCCTCGCTGCAGCCTGGGTCCTGCTCCATGACTTTGCTTCTCAGGCCTCCCCAGCAGCGGCTGAGGCACTGGGAGCTCAGACTGCTCTCTGCCTCCCTCCCCCTTCTCTCCCCTTCTCTCGCTCTAGGCCTGGGGGCCCTGGTCCTGCCAGCTGGGGGGTTGTGGGTTTGAAGGTGGCTCCATTTCTGCATTCCAGCCACCCTACCCAGAGCCACTATAATTACTTGTGGCTGCGGTTCACCTCTTCCCCAGCGCTCCTGGGCCGCGTCCTTGACTCTCTTCCTGCCTGCTGCCCCTCCCTGCTCCTCACCCCCCAGGTTCCTCTCACTCCTCCTGCACCGCCATCCGCCTCTCTCTGACCCAGTTTCTCCGTGTCATGTTCTCTCTTCCTTCAGCTCGGCCCCTGCCCCTGTCTTTATCTTTCTCTCTGTCACTGACTTTCATGCTGTTAACATTTCCTGGGGTCTCCAGGGCTCTGGCCTTCTGTGCCCAGTCTCCCGCCTTCGATGCTCTCTTGCTTCCACCTCTCTCCGTCCCTTCTTGCTCTCTCCCAGCCACCCCCTTTGCCTGTCCCTGTCTGCCCCTGGGTGGCTGACTGTTCCCTCCTGCACTGTTCCTGCCCCTCCCTCCCTCCCTTTATACCTCCATCCCTGGCCCCTCCTCCTGATGCCACACACACATGGACATACCGCACACACATGGGCACACACCTTTGCTCACTCACGGGGTGGTAAACTGGGTACAAAGTTGCGGACTTACTGGGCATGTGGGGCCATGACCTAGGCCTCAGTCTGGGCAGACCGGAACCAGGGACTTGTACCTCAGTCATCTGCTTTTTTCCCCAGCCCAGACCCTGTCCCTCCTACCCGGGCTGGAGGTAGTAGCAGGACCTGCTCATCCTGCGGAGGCAGCGTCAGAGGAGGGCTCCCTGGAGGAGGAGGCACCCCCCATGCCCCAAGGCAGTAGCCCTGGGGCTCCCCAGGTCCTGGACAGCACTGACCTCGTTGTACCCACAGAAGCTGTGACGTGTGAGTCCTAGGGGGCCGTTGGGGTGGTACTGTGGGTAGCGGGGCATGTAGGGTGCCATTGCCACCTTTCTGTCGAGGAAGAAGACCTTCACTAAGTGGTTATTAACCTGGGCTCTAGGCAAGGTACTCCAGACAGGAGGGAAGAGGCACCCTGGCCTCCAAGAGATAGCTGGGGGCCGGCTGGGGTGGGAGCTGGAGCGTGATGCAGCCCCGCCCTTCAGGGGATCCAGGGCCAAAAGGAAGGAGAGACGCACCCAACTGCTCTGGAGAGAAAGGGACTCATTCAGCTCCGTTCCCAGGCCTGGCTCAAGGTCTCTATGGGAATCTTGGGAGGGAGAGAATTCTTCCCCTCACCTTCAAGAGCAGAGGAAGGGGCTGTGGGAATCATTTTATAATCACTAAAGCAAATCCCCAACATCCATTTTTACTTTCCAACTGTCTTCCCTCGAATGAGCTCATGTGCTCTCCCCATCAACCTGTAGTGAGGCAGGAGGACAGCTGTTGCCAAGCCCATTTTACAGATGAGGAAAGTGAGGCACAGAGAAACTGCTCACCCTGGTCATGAGCTGGGGGACTGAGGTTGTCTGGCCTGTGCTCTTTGCTGTGCTGCCCGCCCGGCTGGCATAGCCAAGGCAGGAGCTGCCTCCAGCCAGGGCATCTGGGGCTAAGCTGGACTCCCTGGAAGGCAGGATGCTAAGTCCTGCTACCACAGCGCCCTCAGCCTCTTCCAGACACACCCACCGGCAGAATTGAGAGAAGGAGGTCAGGGCTGAGGCCACAGAGGAGGGGGCCTGGGTGGGAGTGGGACAGACACTCCTGTGTCTGTGGCCCCAGTATTTGCTCTGTGACTCAGCCCCCACTCCCACCCCCATGGCCACCCCCCAGCTGAGGCCACAGGCAGGCTCTGTCTGCCCACACCTCCCAGAGCCCTCGGCTCACCACTCTCCCGCCCTCTGGCCACTGTGCCCATGTTTAGGCAGCAGGGCAAGGGGCACCGAAGCTGGCCAAGGACTCATCCCGGCCACCCTCTGTGAGGCCAGGATGATTCAGACCCAGCCACTTCCCATGGCCTTGAGCTGTTTACCCAGATGCCGGCTCCTGCCCCACGGTTGGCCAGAGGCCCCTGGCCTGGAACCTCTGCGGAGCCTGCCTCCTGCCTTCCCCCTGCTCCCCACTCCCTAGCTGTGGGAACTTTGGTGAGTTTTACCATTTCTGGCCTCACTTTTCCCATCTGTGAAAGGGGGCCAATGACAGATTTCTCATAATGGTTAAAGCAGGTCACCATTAGGTAAAGCCCTTTGTAGTGAACCTCATACACAATAACTGCTCAAAAGGTGCACGCTACCAGTTCTAAGAGTAGTTATTGTGTGACCCTAGCAGCTTGTTCCCCAACCCCTTGTCTCCCATCCTCTGCCCACTCCTTGCCCTCTAAGCCCCAGCTCCTAATCTCCAGGCTGACCCCACATCAGAGACTTCCTAGCTGTGTGACCTTAGGCAACTTACCGTACCTCTCTGGGATTCAGTTTCCTCATCAGTAAAAAATCTATAGAAAAGATTTCAGTGAGAGAATATTCAGCAAGTGCTTAGAGGAGTGGTTGGCATGCAGCAAGTGCTCAGTCAGTGCTCAGTGTTGTGACCTCCACTGTTAGGAGAAGGCCCAGCCCCTTTAGTCAAGGGGAACACTGAGGTCACTTTCCCTTGGCATCTGGGGTCCCCATACATCTCCCTTCTGTACAGATCAACCACTCAGGAGAGCATGGAGGGAGCAGGGGATTCAGACCTATCTCTGAGGGACTGAAGTGCCTCACATTTACAGAGAGCCCTGCTGGGGGTCCCAGAGCTCTCCTGACCTCTCTCAGTCCCCTCCCCACATCACCCACCCCCCACACACACACTCCTCTATTCACCCCCAATGGAGCCCTCCAGTTGAGGATCCCCTGAGAGAGGCCCAGGAAGGAACTGGGACTTGGCAGAGTCAGCTTCCTTGCACTCCATTGATAAAGCTCAAGTTTGGCCTTCAACAGGGGCATGGGGTCCTGGCCTTGGGGGTTTCCCTGCTAGTTTCCTCTTCCCTTCTCCCACCCAGACCCCAAGAACCCCCTCCCCAAATTCTCCCATCTGCCCAGAGGCTTGAGCCGGAGAGCTCAGGAGGAAGGAGCAGCAGATAGAGGGGCTGCTGTGAGGAGCCCCTGGATTCCAGGCGTTCATCTCCAAACAGATGTTTCCAATAAATCACCCAGCGCACCAAGGGCAAAAACAGCTGGGGGCTTGGCAGAGGCCAAGGTGAAAGTTAACTGCTTCGCTGCTGTCCCCCCCACCCCCACCCACTACCACCCACTACCACCACTCTAGACAAAATCCCAGGACTCCAAGAGCAAGAGGGTGGATTTCATGTGGCCAAGAACCTGGGGTCCAGGCTCTGAGCCCCGCCCCTGGCCTTGCACCCCTGTCTTTCTGGAATAGGCCCAGGACTAGGAAGGAGTGCGGACCTGGGCTTCAATCTGCTGCTGTTTCATGGTGTGGCTCTGGGCTGGTCAGCTCAGTTTCCTCATCTTCAGAAGATAAGTCTAACCAAGTCCCCTGGGGTACGTCTAAGAATGAGGCAGTCAGGATTAGAGCAGAGCTCCGTGTGGGAGGGGTGCTGAGTGGCCCCCACCTCTTGCTCATCATCCTTTTTTCTCATCTCTCCAGGCCAGCCTCAGGGGAACCCCTTGGGCTGCACCCCTTTATTATCAAATGGCTCCGGCCACCCCTCAGAGCTGGGCCATGCCAGGCGTGCTGGGAATGGTGCCCTAGGTGGCCCCAAGGCCCACCGGAAGTTGCAGACACACCCATCTCTGGCCAGCCAGGGCAGCAAGAGGAGCAAGGGCAGCACTAAATCATCCACCTCCCAGATCCCCCTCCAGGCGCAGGAAGGTGAGTGCCCATCCCACCCCCCAGGAGACCTGCAAACTCCATCCACACAGCCAGAGGCGGCATCTTCGCCTGGTGGTTACTGGTCAGAACAAAACCTCCGACCTCCTCGATCGATCTCTGCGTAGGGCCCAGGAGCCTGGGCTCTCAGAACTCCTTGAAGCCTGCTCCTGACAGTGAACCTTGTGCGAAGCATACCTGCTGGGTCCCTGAGGCACACCTGCATTCTCAAAGCCAATCCCTGCCTCTCCTGCTCTCTAGAATGAGGAATGGAGCCACCTGGGCTGATCCACTAAGCCCCCTCCTTCCTGGAATCAGAAAGTTTCCTCCAGGGGCAGGGTGGAGCTCAGTGGTAAAGCACTTATGCACCAGCCCTGGGTTCAATCCCTAGCACCACAAAAATAGAAAAGGAAAAGAAATTTTCCCCAAGGAGTGGACCCAGTGAAAAGCATATAATGTAATAAAACTTGACTGAGGCGTGGGGCAGGGCTGCAGGGTGCAGGGGGTGGTGGGTCAGAGGACCCGGATCCACCACCCCCCTGCTGATCCTGCAGGGCCACCCTGGCCAGCCAGCTCCCCTGCCCCTCCAGGCACCCATTCAACATGGGGGACAACTGCCTATAACTCAGTAGCTGCCTGACCTTCACCTTGCACATGTTGGGGGACCCTGGCCCCTTCATCTGCAAACAGGATTCAACGTGCACATTGGCACATATTTGGAAACCTTCCTGCCCCGTGGGGCAGGCTCTGCCCATAGTCGTATTTAACGTGGCCTGGGCATCTGCTATGTGCTGGGTACCCAGCCCGTGTCCTCACACAGTGTTCATGAGAGGCACAGATGGATCATCTCACACAATGCAACAGATGCAGCAATAAAGCCATGCACGGAGGATCATGTTAACAAGGGCACCCACACCGGCCCAGAATGCTGGGGAGGGGGGCCCAGGCAGGCTCTGAAGTAGTCTGAGCAAGTCTTGGAGCCTGAATTGGAGGATCTAGCCAGGGAGTTTGGCACAGAGGTGAGAAGTGGCTAGTGCAGTTAGGCTGAGGAATGAAGTGCAAAAGGAGAGGGAGGTTCCAGGCAGGCAGGGGCTCTGGGAGGGCCTGGTCAACCTTCCTTGGACCTAGACTGTGTCTGGAGGGCAATAGGGAGCCATTGAGGGTTTTAAACAGGGTGATGGCTCACTAGATTTGCATTTGAAGGAAACTACCCTACCCAGTTTGGAGATAGCTTCAAGGCCCTGCAGAAGACCCTCCTCCTCTGCACAGGAATGCAGGACAGGGTGAGCTCCTCCATATCAGAGTGAGACTCTCAGGTCTAGGGACCTGGGTCCTCTGCCCACTGGCCTGCTCTCCAAGAGGGCTGCCAGCTCAGCATCCAGCAGCCCACTGAGGGCTACAGCTGCAGGACTCCTAGCTCCACCACTCCAGCGGCCGGGTGCCCTCAGACAGGGTTCTGCCTTTATTGATTATCACGTATTCCCGAGCACTGGCTATGTACCAGGGGCCGTTCTAAGAATTTGTCATAACCAGTGAACAGAACACTCCAAGACGCCTGCCTGAGATGACCATCAGGGTACAGCCATAGTGTGGGGCCTGGGTCCTCTGGGGCAGGGCCAGGCAGTGCTGGAGTGCTATGGAACGGGGTGGTAGAAGCGCTCACCAAAAGGTGGCCTTTGGGGAAAGAAGCAGATGGCTTTTGCTCCGGATGAGGGAGCCATTTAATTCTTGTGAACAGAAGATGGTCTTTAAAGTCTGGCTCTGAATGGACAGCAGGTTTGGGGAGGGGTGGCCAAGGGCAGTGGGGCTCTTGCAATTGCCCAGGAAAGGGGTGAGCAGGGCGGTAGGATTCTGGATGTATTTTGGAAGTGACAGCTTCTCAGTGCCTCGGTTTCCTCATCTGTAGAGTGGGGCTAATAACAGTTGTCACATCATAGAGCTGTTGGAAGCTTAAATTAATTTAATCCCTCGCATTGCACAGTGCCCGGGACATGTTAGCACTCTCTCTGGGTGTCACTAAATAAACCAAGAGGGATTGGGCGCAGGGATTCCCACTCCAGACTGCCTGGGCTCCTGCCCCCACTCTTGAGGTGCTCAGTGTGCTACGCCCCAGGTCATTGCTTAGGAAGAAACGGCCTCCTCACAATCACCCCTTCCCAGAGCTGTGGGGTCTGACAGCAGGAGCCCTGCTGTGGCCGCTGTTGCTGGCTGCCTTTCTCCCCTAGCCGTTGACACCCGCTCCCTCCACCTCCCCGCAGACTGCTGTGTCCACTGTGTCCTGTCCTGCCTGTTCTGTGAGTTCCTGACGCTGTGCAACATCGTCCTGGACTGTGCCACCTGCGGCTCCTGCAGCTCCGAGGACTCGTGCCTCTGCTGCTGCTGCTGTGGCTCTGGCGAGTGCGCAGACTGCGACCTGCCCTGCGACCTGGACTGCGGCATCCTGGACGCCTGCTGTGAGTCGGCCGACTGCCTGGAGATCTGCATGGAGTGCTGCGGGCTCTGCTTCTCCTCCTGACCCGCCCCAGCCCTAGGGCTGCCCCATGAAGCTTGATAACCCCTCCGCTCCCAGCCTCCGCTCCCAGCCTCCGCTCCCAGCCTCCGCTCCCAGCCTCCGGGGCCCTCCCAGAGCACCAGCCCCAAGAGCAGACTGGGTGGGTGCTCTGTAGGGACACCTCAGCCAGGGAGCTGGGCCCACGACAGACAATCCTGCCCTCCCAGCTGGTTACCAGGGACCCCAGCACCAAGGATCTGGTGAGATGGGACAAGGGTGGGGGCCACTCTAGGACCAGCCACCAGGGCTGCGGAACACTGTGAAAGTTAGAGGAGGGGGCGGTGGAGGGGGGGCGTGTGCTTCTCTACCTCTCTAGTCCTGGTGCCCACCTCCCCTGCCCCCCCAGGCCTCGAGGACAGCAAAATGTGAAAAGATTCACCTGCCCCGCCCCAGCCAAGCCCCTCCCCGAGTCCTTTCCTGGGCTTTGTGGGGGCCTAGCCTATGCAGTGACCCAAGAAGCCAGGCCTGGACCCAGGGCCTGACGGGAGGGGGAACAGTACAGAAAAGACTGGAAGGGGTGGGGGAGGGTCTGTTTGGTTTATTGCTGTAAATACAGATATTTGTCCGTCTCTGCTCTGCTCAGGCTTGTGACTGATTTCCAAGGACCATAATGCTCCAAAGCAAACGCTCCCTTTAACCCCCTAACAAGCACCCCATTGGGTAACCCTTTCCTGCCCCCCCACCCATTCATGCTACCCCAGGGGAGGGAGGGAGGGGGTGCCCACTTTTCACCCTGTTCCCTCTTCCCACCAAAGGGCAGGAGAAATCCAGACAGGGAAGAGTTAACTTTGGCACAGGATTAATTGACCACAGATGTGTTCAGGTTTTGATTAATCAATCTCCTGCTGACTCCAGCTTCTCCAAGCTCTTCCCCATGAGTTAGTCCCAGGCATAGGGTGAATCCATGTTGGCAGCAGAGGGGTGCCCAGGAGAGGGTCACCTCAGGCCCAACCCACTCTGAGCCTGTACCTGAGTCTCACTGGGAGGCGGGCTAGGACTTGAGTGGGAGTTCATTTGGCCCCAGTCGCCAGGGGCTAGAGGAAGAGGAAACACAGAGGAGCGCAGAGGCCATCTGTCCAGTGCTGTTGGCGTGCAGACAGGAGGCCTGGCCAGCAGCCAGGTCTGGGAACTGCAGGATGGCACTCGGGGAGTGTGGACCCTGATGTGTGGCACCTCCCCTGACCCTGGACCTGGAGGAAGCCAGGAGGTCCGGGGAAATGAAAGGATGTCACTATGGTAGGGGATTTGGGTGCCCCGAGGAGGACCCAACTGAGGAAGGCCTTGGAAAGTGGGCACACAGGGACACCAGTGAGTGCTGCCTCCAGGTATGTTGGCTGGAGGGACTTTGGAGGGTGGGAAGGCCTTCGGAGAAAGGGCCCCGAGCCAGGTGCCACAGCACACAACTCAGGAGGCTGAAGCAGGAGGATCTCAAGTTTGAGGCCAGTCTGGACAACTGAGTGAGACCCTGACTCAATGGTGGAGCTCAGTGGTGGAGCGCCTGCAGCATGCGAGAGGCCCTGGATCCAATCCCCTGGATGGGGGAAAAGAAAGAAAAATCAGACAAAATTGAAACTTCAGAAGGAACGTCATGTGGGGGAGCAACCCATACCTTGGGAGTGGGTTTCAGGGGTGGTGGCAGAGGAGGTTGTAACAGGCCCCATGGAGGGCTCACTGGAAACTTAGAAAGTAGGTAGGAAGGGACCTGCCCTGGGTCTCACAGGCGGGCCAGGACGGAAGCCCCTAGGCCCCTGATGTTCATTCATATGTCTCTCTGTGTCCTTTTGTTCATTTTTATTTAGCTACTGCATGCCCAAGGTATAAAAGTTTCAAAAGCCCACCCTGTGTAGATATAAGCATTTACACGTTTTCTTTTTCCACAAAAATGTGAGAACAATTTGCACGTTATGCTGTCCCCTTTATTGGAACACTTCCCACTTGACAAGCTCCACTGGGAGCGTCCTTCTCAGCACGCTGCAGAGCTACCTGGGGTTCAGTAGGTGGCCGAGCCACTGCCCAGTGACTGAGCTCTGCTCTCTGCCACTCTGTTATCATAAGGCTATGAACATACCCTTTTGCATGAATAAGCTGTTTCGAGAACATTCCTGAAGGTTTCATTGCTGGGCTTATGGGTGTCTGCATTTGTAACTGTGGCAGGTCTGCCCAGTCATCCTCCATAAGGATGTACCAGTCCCTACTCATGTGGCCTTGGGGTGTCCATCTCTCCCACATCCCTAGCTCTCTGGGTCTGAGGAGGAAAGACAGTGGAGGGAAGCTCCCATGGTTCTCTCTGGTTCTGCTCAGCCTCACCTCTGAGGGAGGTGAGGAAGGCCAGGAGGATGGGGTGGAGTGAGAGCCTCTGACCAATTTGGTGTCTGGTCCAGGTAGGTAGGAAGCCCCCCGCCCCCCCAGCACAGCCAGCAGGGGCAGGAAGAGGCGCCCCTGCAATCCAAACACTGATTTCCTGCTGCAGGCCCTGGGCTGTTTTCTTTAGGACAGCGGCTGAAACCAGAGAAGCTGAGCTGGTTGTGGGTAGGATGGGGGAGGATGGAGCCAGCCCCCAACACGCATGCCCGTATCCCTTCCTGCCTACACACAGGCCTGAAGCCACGCACACCTCCCTACAACACATACACACCTTCACACCCAAACTGAATTGAACCACACCCCCTTCACACGCACATTCCATAGTCACACACCTACACCCCCCGACACACCACACGCATCCACATAAACCCCCACGCACACATATTACACATTGCAGATTCTGGGGCCGAGCTATGAGAGCCATGTCCGATTCCCTTTGCCCAGGTGAGTCTCATCCCCACAGGGAAACAGATGGCTTTCACCTGGATACCACCCACCTACCCTGCCTAGCCATCCTCCTGGGGAAGCCCTTGTTTGGGACCCTTTCTCTCTTCCACAGTTGTCCTCTGTCAGCTCTCGTCTCTGCCTCTGTAGCCAGGTAGGCTGGACCAGGTGACAGTTCTCAGCTGGCTCTGCTGTGGGCCCCAGGGACAAGGCCTCAGTTTCTTTGTTGCACACTGGAACAGCACACAATGCTGGGAATCTAATGGTGGCCAAGTGTCTGGGGAATACTCTGCCCCTCTGTTTTCACTCATCTTTGGAGCAACAGATGGGTCACTTGCCCAGGAGACTTCCTGAGGGGCCACCCTCTTCTGCTGGGTTGTCTGAGAAGAGGCAGGCATTCCCACACCTGTAGGAGGCAAGGTGCAGAGGCCAAGTGAAGCCGTCCTAGGCCAGGACCATCCCATGACCTGTGCGCCAGACCTTGAAAGACGCTGCCCTGTGACAGATCAAGATGTGTCGCTCACATCAGTCTCCTCCCTATTTACTGGCTGTTTTAGTCAGATTTTTTTTTTTTAATTTAATGACCAAAAGACCTGGCAAGAATAATTAGAGGAGGAAAAGTTTTTTGGGGGGGCTCACGATTTCAGAGATCTCAGTCCATAGATGGCCAATGCCATTGCTCTGTGGCAGTACATCATAACGGAGGAGTGTGGTGGAGGAAAGTGGCTCAGGACATGGCCACAAGGAAGCAGACAGAGAAAGATTTCTCCTCTCACCAAGGATAAAATATACACCCATGACATGCCCTCAGTGACCTAGCTCCTCCAGCCACACCCTACAGCTACCACCTGGTTAATCCCAGCATCAGGGGATTAATGCTCTGATTTGGTTAAGGATCTCTTTACCCAAACATTTTACTCTGACCTTTCTTGCACTGTCTCATTCGTGAGCTTCTGGGGAACATTTCATGGCTAAACCCAACTCTGGTGCCCTCTGTTCCTGTGCCCAGACCTGGGCACACTGAGTTTCAGGACACAACCGTCCTGGCTCCACTTGAAGCTGCTAGCCCCTGCCCCTAGACAGGTATGTCCTAGGGCCTTCACCAGTTCCCCAGGAGATGAGCCAGTAGTGGGGGCCCCGGGGCTGGAGGCTGAGCCTCTCAGGACTACTGCAGACCTGCCAGGCTTTGGGCAACAGTTCTTTACAACAGCTGCAAAAGCAGTATGGCCGCCCTCAGAAGGGACCTTGTGCAAAGATATGGGAGAAGCAGGGACAGTGGCCACAGATGGGAGCAGGAGGGCACAGAGATCACAGGTCTGCCCCATGTCGTCTCACATGGGTGCTCCTTTCTGTGTTTTAGGATGAGAATGGGATGGTGCCCGTAGCCACAGGCCCTCGGTGACTTTACTGCCTTCTCCCCACCCTGCCTCCTCTCTCTACCCCACAGTTCCTGCTAGATCTGCTTTTTTTGTGAGTAATGGCCTCATTCCTGCAGGTAGACAGGGAATGGGGTGAGAAGGGAAGGTCCATCCACATGCTGTGTCTACTGGGCAGGTCTCAGATCCGCCCCTCAGGGCACCCTATATAAAAAGCCAGGGAAGGACTCTGATTGGCCCAGCATGCCTTAAGATTCATCACTGAGCCAATCACTGTGCCAGGGGGTGGAGGGCTATGATTGGCCAGGCCAAAGTCATGTGACAACCTCTGTGGCCAGGAAGGAGTGACATAGTCTCTCCTCCAGAACCAGATAGAAAGGGGGGAAGCTCCCCTAAGAAGTGGGGGTGCTGTAACAAAAAAGTGGGGAAGGCTGTCCAATTAAACCTGGAAACTGCACACAGTGACACAGGCCTATAATCCCAGTGACTCGGGAGGCTAAAGCAGGAGGATCGTGAGTTCAAAGCCAGCTTCAGCAACTCAGCAAGACTCTATTTCTAAATAAAATATTAAAAGGGCTGGGGATGAGGCTCAGTGGTTAAGCACCCCTGGGTTCAATTCCTGGTTCCAAAAAAAAAAAAAATTTTGGGAAATCGCTATAGGATCAGAATACCATAGATAGGTTCAGAAGAGGTGCTTTCGTGGGGGAGGCCTGACTGGAAACCTCAAGTAGCAAATGCCACTCAAGGCATGTGACTGGAGGAGTCAGTCAAGGAGCAGATCTCCCAGCACCCAGAGCTTGGGGAGGAGAGCCAGGCTCAGTCTCAGGCTCCAGCAGAGGGAGTGGACAGACTGGCAGATATTCTAGCTCCAGTTGAGAGGGCACACTCCAACAGCAAGGACAGCCCCAAATGGAATGGAAAGCCATGCCAGTGGGTGGGGTCCTCCCTGTCCCAAGGACTGTTCTGGGTCTCAGAGATGTTGATGGTTTTTTGACTGTGTGGCACGGAGCACAGATGGGGGAGGGTTATCACAGGGGGCCCCCACAATTCCTTCTAGCCCAGACTTTCCATGGTGCAACCACATGGACAGTGGCCATCTGATCAGAGAGAAACACAGGGTGCAAGGTGGACAGGGCAGTGGTGTGAGATGAAGAAAGGGAGCAGAGGGAGCGAGGCTCACAGAGGTCCTGGGACAAGTGGAGCAGGCGGGCTGTGGGCACTTGTCCCTTGGTTTCTCCCAAGGTCGCCCTCCTTGGTGCCCCTCAGCCTGGGTCCCACCCGGGCATGGAGCCTCTGCAGAGCTGGGCAGCTCAGCATTAATTAGGG